GCGTCGACACAAATTCTAATTTTATGTAATTACTTTTGAAGCCTGATGTTTTCTGGTAACTCAGGCCCTCTGTAAAGAACAAAACCAAAGCTAAATATCACACGTACATTATTTATTCACCTCTCATACAAACTGTTGAAATAGGTTCTGTGTCATAACCCCATTTTACAGAGGAGGGCACTGAGGCTCAGAGAATTCAACTGACTTTCCTAAGGTTACACAGCTAAGAAATCATAAAGCTTGGCTTGGAACATAGTTCTATATAGCTTTAACTCCAGTGCCCAGTAGAGATATTTTTCTAAAGATATTGTTTTTGCAAATGTCTTGAATTCTAGACTGACACTGAACCAGTTTGCTTTTATCTTCCTTTCTGAGTATCTTTTTGATCTCATGGTCACTTCAGGCTAGTGCCATGGCATGCCGAAGGGGAAAGAGAAAGACACTTTGGAGCAGAGAGGTCCCCTGGAGCCTCATTCCCTGTGGGGGGCTTCCTTTTGTGTTCAACTTGGGAAGTCAGGCCTGAAGATGAGTACTTGAATCTCAAAAACCTGTTATAAGTAGCTCTGTCAGTGCTAAAGCCTGCCTACTTATCCCCCTCCCACCCTACCCATCAGCTTCTTGTCTGGGCACACTGGTCTTCCTAACTCTGCTTCTGTCTTATATCCTACTGGTGCCTTGAGAGGATTGAAGGTAAGTGAGACAGTGTCAATTTTCTGGTAGAACTGCAGCATATGACTGCTCTTAAGTTTAGCTCTGTATGTTCGAGCAGGGAGGCAATGACAAACGGTTTATTCTCAGGCCTTTGATTTCCTTTGGAATTGTAAGCATCTAGGCTGACTCATCTCTCAAAGGCTTCTCTCTCTCTCTCTCTGTCTCTCTCCTTTTTGAGCTGGTGCTGATTTGGGGCTCTACTGTTTGTTCTTAGCTCATTTTTGGGGGACGGGAGGGATTGATTTTCATCCTGTTTTTGGGTGAAAGAACTAGCTCTGCTCTTTGGATCACCAGATCTGGTAAGCCTCAGTAAGAAGAAATAGCTGAAACTCCAAGACAGGTACAAAAATATCTGGGTTGGGGGCAAGGGGAGAGGGGGAATGATGTTAGAAAATTAAGCCAGAGCTAGCCTGTGTGTGTCAGGATGAGACCCTCCACTAACAGGCTCTGGACCTGCTTCCCCAAATTGGGGGTTTCTAGAAGCATAGCCTGGGACTGTGGTTAGATGCATGTACCTTTGGTTACAATGGTTACTTCGTGGTTGCAATTTGGTGGTTGGTCTTGGGTGCTTACTAGGGTTTTGGTGTTTTGCAGTTGAAGCTTTAAAATACATGCTAGGGATTTTCCTCTCAGTTTAGTTTAAAAGCCATGGAAAGACCATTCTTTGCTGTACTGTACCTCAGTTATTTGGAGAGATTTGTGACATCTGTGACTTTGGCCATTAAGAAAAGTGGGCAAAAGAGGATTTTGGTGACAAAATTCAAAGTGTTGTTGTTGCTGTGTGTGTGTGTGTGTGTATTTTCTTTTCTTTTTTTTTTTTTGGACAGAGGATAGCTCATTTATTTAGATGACGGCATGATAAAACCCTTCCCTACCTATTCTGTGTCAAAGCCACATTACCTGATCTTTGAAATTTAAACTCCCCCAAATAATATATAGACTATTATTGTAAAACTCTATGGGAAAGGGAAGCTCTGAAAATTGGCATGTGACCCTTTTCCTTCTTGTCAAAAGATTTAATTTCCCATGTCTTGAATTGCATTCTCTATCAGGAACCAGCATACACACATTCACCCAAACCACAAACTTGGGAGCTATTCTAAATTCTTTCCTTTCCATTACAATTAAAATTTCCCCTTAAGTCCTGTCAATTCTACCCATAAAATCCATCCCCTGCTTTAGCCTCAGTGACACTGACTTTTGTCAGCATTCCTTGTCTCTTGGTTGATTTACCTACTTCAGGCTCTCTACCCAAATCAGGCTTTTCATGGCTCTCTGTGATTTTTCCAAGGTGCAACTTTGACTCTGTCAATTCCTGCCTAAAACCCTTCAGTAGTTCTCTATTGCCTTCAGGAGAAAGTCCAACTTCTTAGCACAGCTTACAGGGCCATTCATGATCTCATCCCTGCCTATCCAGATTTATCTCCTTCATATCCCTTTATACAGCTATAAGAATATGACAACCTCTGTCCCATCTCTTTGCCTTTGCACAAGCTGTTCTCTGTTTCTCTGGACGCTCCCCCCTCCCTGTCTCCAGGCAGACTTAGATGTTTTCTCCATTCTGCTCTCACAGTACTTTGTTTATGTCTTGGCCGACTGACTTCTCACAAGGTTTTGTAAATTGTTGCTAACCTGTGTATCTCCCTCACTGTCCTGTGAAATCTTTTATAGAAGGAATGGTATTACCTTGCTCATTCTTTGAATCTTCAGTGTGTGGCACAAAGTGGGTAATTAATTCAGGTTTCTTATTTTCTTTTAATGAATGAATGAAAGAACAAATGAGTAATAGAGGATGTGCAGGAAAGGATGCTGTGTGGGGTGCAGGGAGATCCCGACTGGGGGATGCTGTGCAGCCTGGGAGCAGTATGAGGTAGTGGGCACCATGGAGAGGGCACATCTAAAACAGGTTTGCCATTTCATTGAGACAAACTTTACTCTGATCACCAGTTCTCTATAGAGAGTCTCACTAGAAGTGGTCTAGGAATGATTGCTTGTTTTGGTATAAATTGATTTTTTTCATGAAAAAGTGATATAATCAAGTTGTACAATTTTGGTAAATAGAGAAAAGACAAAAGGTAAACAAAATCCCACCACTTAATACAGATGCTGTTAGTATGTGGGTGAATTTCCTTCAGACTTATTTTTATGCATGTTTTTCTTCACATAGTTGTAATAATAATTAACGCAACTATGTATTTTGTATTTGTTGTTAAAAAGCTCTTTGTAAACATCACTTTAATGACTGCATAATTTTCCATACTGTGGTCATTACATAATTTATATAACTAGTCTCATTGCTGGGCTAGCTTTTTTTCCCTTAAATTTTTACTGTTATGGCTCATGTGCATATGGTTGTTCCTGTCTGTAGGAAGATTTCATTAGGATAGATTCCTAGAAGGGGAATTACTGGGTCAAAGGGCCTGGGGATGATTTTTGGCACCAGACCCATGTGTCCAGTTTGTTTTCTGGAAGAGTATAAATTTACAGTGCTCCTAACCTAGTTGAAGTCCCTTTTTTATTCAACCTGGACAGCACTGAGTATCTTCATGAAAAAAAAAGAAAAAGAAAAAGAAAAAACAACTCTATCAGTGTTCTAATTAATTAATGGAAAATACTGTCTTATATTGTCTCAAAATACTTTTAAAAATTGTAAGGTTGATTAGGTTTTGGGGTTTTTTTAATCTTTTTTTTTATTACTTTTTCTTTTCTTTTTTTTTTTTGTGTGTGTGCTAATTAAGTTTTCTCTCTTCTGGACTATCTGTTCAGGGCTGATTTTTTTTTAAGTCGATTTTTTTTTTTTTTTAATAAGCAACCAGACGCAGCTCTGCTTGAGGGTGAAGCCGCCTCCCAGTTTTCCCTCCCCTTCTCCCCCCCCCCCCCCCCCCCC